TCGTTAAAGTCTAAACCTATACACTTAACGTTTTCTTCAACAATATCCACGTGTCTAGCAACAATGACTCTGCCATTTAATAATACACGATAACCAACACTACTACAACCAATTAAAATTCCCATATCAGCTTTCTTATCCCATTTAGAGATTCTCTTCTGTTCTGGTCTTCGTACAAAAACTTTACTTCCATACAAACGCAAATTAGAAACATCAGGTTTCTGTCCAAAAAATATTTCATATGGAGTTTTCTTTTCAATTGTATCAGATAAAGTACGATTTTTCAAATAAACCGCAGCACAAACTATTTCAGGCCAATATTTTTTATGAATATCTGCTTCAGCCAACAAACATCTTGACATATCCATTATAGTTCGATTAAACCGTTCTGCAGTCCCATTCAATTCATGTACATATGTAGGACAATTATCAATTACTATACCCCTTTCTTTTGCAAATCTGTAGACTTTACTGTTCAAATATTCTTTCCCATTATCACATCTTAAAATCTTTATTTTCTTTCCAGTCAAATTTTCACTTTCATTCGTATATTCATTCAAACAATCACATACTTCTGCTTTTGATTTTATAGCATATACTTTAGAAATCTTACTATAATCATCAATGAAAGAAACAAAATAATTTTCACCTTTAAACCCAGTAGTTCGAAAAGGCCCACAAACATCAGTATGTACAATCTCTAAAATATCTTTAGCTTTTTTTCTACTGTTTACAAACGGAATATTATGCATTTTACTTTCAATACAAATCTTACATTTCATAAATTCAGATTCAAACTCATCAGGAATTCCATTCAACAGCTGATCTTTAGATAAAATATTCAAATATTTAAAATTTACATGACCTAATAAACGATGCCATTTTTCCTTTTGATTCATATTATTCATATCTTTATTTGCAACATTTACATGCAATTCAACTGATTTTAATTTACTTTTCATAATATATAAGCCATTATTTTTTAAAGCAACTGCTGTTATATTACCAAGTTTATCAAACACTTTTGAAATATTACCTAGAGAAATAATCTTATTATTTTCTGTTATTTTGCTATAACTTATCAAATTTGATTTCATATCTTTAACATAGAAAACATTTTGCATATCTACTAAACTCTTTTTACCAAAAGCATCAAAGTAACTTAAAACATTTCCAATTTTAGTAGCTTTTACAACCCTATTATCTCCTAAATAAACATTAATGGGATCTTTAAGTAATTTACATTTATCAAATAATTTTTCATCATTAATAATGTGGTCTGTACAACCACTATCTAAAAGCCATTTTATTTCAATACAATTATTTACATTACCTATTTCAGTATTTTGTGCAATAACTGACATATCCTTACCAAGAGCTACTGTTGTAAGCCAAGAAGCACTGTTTCGCTCTTCGTTCTTCTGTCCTTGTCGGTTGAACCGCTGTGCACTTGTTCCATGCGTTCCGCGCTGTCCACGTGAGTGGCCACGTCCTCTGACGTAGCTTCCTCTTCCGGCTTCTTGTCGACCTCGCGTTTCTCTCCACCAGCCTCTACTGCTTGTCGTTTGTCCGCCATTACCCGACGCTTGATTGGCGCCATTTTTGCAATCTCGCTTGAAATGACCAACTTCGCCACACTGGAAGCATGATCGATCCTGTCGACCTTTATTTACCACAAATGTACTGGATTTTCTTCCAAAATCATTGTTTTGATTTTTTAATTCGGACATCATAACCTTAGTTTTTACGTAGTCTGCAGTTTGATCATCTTCTTTTAATGTATCTATTAAATCACCAATATAACTGTACGACTCTGGCAACGTGTTTAACATATAGTTCAATTTTTCCTTTTCAGACACACTAGCACCCGCGCTTTTTAACTCGTTTATAGCTTTTTCGAAGTCACTAAAAAATGTTGCACAGTCTCCATAGTTGTTCAATTTTAATCTTACCAAGTTATTTCTACATACTATCTGCAATGCCGTTGATTCTTTCAAATATAAATTATCAAATTTCTTTATCATCTCATACGCCGTAGTTTTTTCGTCGATGTACTCCATCTGTCGATCCGATATTGCACCGCATATATAATTCATTGCTTTTACATCATCGTCATCCCAATTTGTATCATCATTTTCATTTTTCGGTCTGGTTACCACAACATCACACTTCTTCATTTTCAAAAATAGCATAAGACGTTTTTTCCACATTTTATAATTCTCCCCATCGAATATAGGTATTCTAAAATCACTACTACCTGCCATCATGTGTCACACTTTTTTTTTCAAACTGCACCAAACTTTTTCTGTTGTAAAAGGTACGACTTTCCAACCACGGACCTCTGCTACCATGTTAAGGTGTGGATTTGGAAAATAAATAGTCGTACTTTACTACTATTATAAAAGGCTTTATTTCCTATAACATACATACTAATTAACTAACCTAACTTAAGCCACCATACTTCTTACTACCACCTACAACTACATGATACTCATTGACATTACTATTATTGTCTGTCATGTCAACCCATGACACTATGGGTGCGTTCCGCTTACTCTTACACCAATATATCTGTGTATACAATATAAATGTATTACATTCTCAACAAAAACCCTACACGAGGACTCAGCTACACCTTTGGTAGAGGAAGAAATTCAAAGGATCACAAAGAGCTACCTTGATGGTCTGAGAAGTCATCCAAATGATGAAGCAAGACTGCTAAACGCTCCTCCCGAATTCGCAAGACCACTGAAGAAACAATGGCCAACAGATTTAATAAATTAAATATATTATGATCTAATGTAAAAAATATAATAGGAGAGTTGCCACAGGGCAGCTTCTCCCTCATGTATTTAACATTCAAACTATTTACTTATAGCTTCGATGAAGCAGATTGTAAATTAAATTATGCTATAAAAAAAAAATATATATTGTACATGGCATGTGGATCGTGCATGGAGAAAGAACCTAACTTTGATTAAGCCCAAAAAAAAACAGGTATGTACTTATTAGGTTAATTTTAAAATAAATAAGTCTTAAAAATTAATTCAGTCAGTAAAAATTAACTTATTTTTTTTACTCTTTCATATAATTTTCAAAAATTTCCTCAGACTGTATTGTTGTTCAGCAATTGTATTGATTGTGGAACAAAACTGTGCACAACAATGCAGTATGCGGGCCTTGAGGTGAGCCCCTTTATATAAAATTTGCAAGAGTTTATTTACATCTTTATTTTTTAAATTAAAAGTTTATGAAAAATTTTCAATTAAATACTTAGGTGTTATATTTTTATTTTCAGGAATTGGTGTATAAAAATTTAAGAGTTCTTCTTCAAGAAAAAGATCCTTCTGCCTTAGAACCCATGCTAAATACTTTTATAGAAAATACATTTGATGATCCATAAGTACTGTTAATTTCGGTCGTTTATTTTCAAACAAATTATGCAAGTAAGGCTATATCCTGGGCTTACTGCCATAGGATGCATGCTGGCTTAAACACCAACATGCATATTGAACGAATGCATAGGACCATCAAATATATTTACTTACAACGCAGAATTATTTAAATAATAAAAGGTTAGATCATGGCCTGGAATCTTATATGAATGACTTGGTTCATTCCCCCATCACTTTCACCTCAGCGAGTTAATAAAGAGGAATGACAGCCTATCTCTCTTACGAAGACTTTAACCAATCATAAACCAAATAAAATAATCAAACGAAGCAATGTCAATTCTGTCAAAAGTAATGACAGATCTTCCGTCTGTTTACAAGTTTTCAATTTTATTTTATTAGACACTTTAAGTTAGACTTTAGAGAGTTATCAAGTGAAAGAGTGAGAATACGGTAACGTTATTTTGACAGCGGAGCATGCGCAGTATGAAATGTGAATAACGTAAATGATTTTAACGTTTACGGGCTCCGTTACCGTACGTCGAATAACGGGTTTGATATACGGTAACGTTAGCAGCGAATCGCATAAATTCGTCAAGACTCGGAACTCGGAGATTAAAGTCTCTGTTCTATAATTTTATTTCTGTTCATTAGTTAACACGTGTTTTCCGTCTTCTTGGTTTAGCATCTGCGAGAGAAATAAAACATTTTATTATATTTCATTATATTTCTCAATTATAAACACAGAAGTAGTAAAAAAGACAAAAAAGGCTGCGTTTTACAAGCACTGATAACTTTTTACTAGTAAAAGAAGTGCGAGGAGTCGACCCTCTGGAATGCCCTGTTTTTCAAACCGAAAATATGAAAAATGTTTGGCTTGCTCAGGCTCTAAGCTATCAAAATTAAACACAGAATGTACATTTTGTATGTTATTATTTAAAATATGATTTTATGTTGATGTTTACAAGATGATTTAATATTAAATCTTCTATAACTTTGTCATTTGCTTCAACTAATATTGCTTGTTCTAAAATGTCTTCCATATTTCTGTAGAAAAAAATTTGAAACGCAAAATGTACAAAATAAGACAAAATATTACTTTGGATGAAAGAAAACATAAAAAAAATTAATTATTTTGCTGTCAAATACGACATTTCTCTGACAGCTGCCAAATAATAACGTGAAGCAGCAATTCCACCATTTGATAACTCTAAAATTACATATCCGTTAAAACTTTATACCGTAAAAAATAGCGTTTACGTGTCAAAATAACGGAAGGATAAAATTTTACTTGATAACTCTCTAAAAGATAAACTAAATCTAAATATTTTTCATACGTTAACGTAAACGTTATATTGACAATTACGCATGCTCACATCGATTGCTTTCACGTTAACGTTTTGCGTGTTTACGTTATTTTACGGACCTCTACGTGCCCGTATAACGCTAGACGAAGTGCTCCGAAACGAAACGATAACTGCCGGAGCAAAATAATTCTTCTTCGTTTTCCGAAAATTTAGTTATACAGGTTATACTTGGTTATACCAAAGTGTTATTAATAATTTTAGTGTACAGTAATTTAGTGTTTTATTTGTTATTTTATATATCATGGAGGAAATTACTAAAACCAGATTCAGATTTACCGACGAATTTGATCTGCATTTGGCCAGAGAAATTTTTGGTCAGAATCCATATGAAGACCAAAGAAGATGGTGTCTTATTCAAGTGAATATGCTTCAGATTACTGGCAAATCAATATCTGTTCGCACCCTAAAAGACAGAATCCAGAATCTGATCAAGAAACATGTATCAAAAACTAAGTTAACCGAGGGACAGTAAGTGGTCTTTCTTTTTCTTAAAAACATATTTTTATGCTGAAAATATGTTTTTAATTTTAGATTGATTTGTAACTTTCAGATCAGGCATTGAAGAATCTGTTACAGAACTAGATGATCTAATCCAACAAATCATTGAACTAATTAAAGAGTTCAAAAACCAGAAGAAACCTAACGAAACTGTACATGATGGCTCCAAAGTTACAGAGGCAGTTAAATCTAGTTTCCAGCTTGGTTTTGAAGCCAGGGAAATATCAGTTTCACACATGCAAAAAGGTAGGTATATTTGGTAGTAATGTATTGTGGAGTACATAACTTAACTTATTAAATATTCATTGTGTATGTTGTTTTTAGGCAATACCGACACCAGTATTGAAGATGTAGGTGAAAACATAGAAATTGACAGTGCAAGTGTGGCAGACGATGTTGAATATCAGCCACAACTGAATAGTACTGCTGATGTGGGAAATGATGCCAAAAAGGGCAAACTCCCTAGAAAGAGATCATTAGCTCAGGCAAATATTTTATGTAAGTAATTTAACTGTTCGATCAAAATCGAAGCTACATATTTACATCTTTGATATGTTTATTGGATTTTAGCACCTTCAGTCCGTAAACGTACGTCTACAAACATAAGGGAGTCTACTGTACAGTATTTATCAAAAAAAAATGATAGGCAGGTAGAACTAAGAAGTAGGGAACTGGCTCTTGCAGAAAGAAGACAAACATTGGAAGAAAGAAAATTCCAACTAGAAACTGAAGAAAGAAGGAAGAAAATGGAGTTGGAAGAACGTAGACTAGTAATAGATGAAAAACGGCTAAATGTCCAATTAGAAGTTTTTAAAAATCAGCAGGAACTAATGAAAATTATTTTAGATAGATTTTCTTAAGCTAAATAAATTATTGCTATTGTATATTTTTATTTAATTAGGAACAGGTAGGGTAGGTTCTCACAAATTATTATAAACTTCATAAAATGAATATATTTTATAACAGTAGTAGTAGTATATTAACCCCAAGAAACACAAGTGTTTATAAGTGACTATAAATAAAAAATACAAAATAACTTAGGTATAAAAAAAACAAAATATTTAGATTAAATTAAAAAAAAATGGTTAAAGATGAAAAAATGCTTATTTAAAAATATGTTTTAGATTTTCTTTAAATCTCTTTCTCTTTTTAAATGAGATGGTAACATATTTTATGTACGTGTGCCATTGTAATTTATACAATCTTTTCCAAATTTGTTGGAAAATTAAATTAAACTTGAGATTTATACAGACTACACTGATATACATTTCCTATCCTAAGTATTCCTGAAGATGGGGGGGTGGAACATTAAAATACGTACTCTGTTGACTGCCATAAAGACATGTATGACTATTGGCTAGTATCGTCCCCACTGCATACATTGTTCCCACTTCCTGTAATAAAAGTCTTTGATTTTTCTTAAAATCTAAAAATGCAAATTCTTTTGTTATTTTATTAAATCCCCACTCCACAGAAACCCTTAATGTGCTCATAATATTATTAAATTGTTGCCTATCAGGATTTATGGCAATTTCATTCCGGGTAAAAGGTCTAATTAACAGCTCTCTGAGACCATAGCCTTGATCACCATATATTACATAATTATGGGCACCAAAAACTGTATTTTGTTCTAATTCAGTATATAAATCAGACTCTCTGAAAATTCCTGCATCATGCCGAGCTCCAGGATATGCACCCTTTAAACTTAAAATAATTCCATCAGGACATAACAGTGATTGGTATTTCACACAGTGTGTCCGCTTATGTCCTGAATAATAATGTCTTTGATTAATACTAGGCCTACATATTGGTCTTACAGTTCCATCTATAAAAGCCCATAAATTATTCATAGGAGCTCCTTTGAGTTGTATTGCCTAAAAAACAAATAAGGATTACTATTTTGTTTTTCTTATTAATAGAATTTATAAAAAATTTTAGGTGAATATATACCTGAGAATATTGTATTAACTTCTCCTCATTAAACCAAGTATTGTTACCCAAATTTTGTAATAAATGTCCCTTATTATCAATTATGATTTGAGTAATAGTATTAATGATGCTTGAAAGAGCTGCATATGAATAGCCAAAGAAAGCTTCGAGATCTACTAGTCTGTTTGGATAAGTAAGCCTTCGAAGAAGGATACATAATGCATGTACACCTAATAAAAAATATAATTATTTCAATTCTGCCATAATTGCTATTAAATTACCTGATAAAACAATATTTTCTGAAGTTCTAACTTCATCTGGTATTCCTAAAGCGGCTGATAATTCGGGAATGTGCTGTTTTTCAAAGCGAAAGAATGATTTTGCTTCTATTTCAGACATGTTCTCCAAGGCAAAACGTCCATAAAGATCAGCTCTACGTCCCAAGTTGTCATTAAAGAAATTTAATAAAAGAAGTTCATCCAAATCATCATCATCTGACTCAGAATCAAGAAGTGCCATATCCAAAATATCATCCATTCTAAATTGAACCTTATTAGAAGCAAAACACTATTTGGTAGTTCCTGTCTGTTTTTTTTTATATTTTCAAAAGTAAGGTTAAGGTAAAATTACGTATACGTTAACGTTAACGTTTAGTCCATCAACTTAAACTGATATTTGATGAGAAGGGGAAACGCTAAAATTTCACCACTACGTGTACGTTAACGTCTACGTATTGTCACCAACTTAAAGTGTCTATTATCTTTAACTTTCGTTTGCATTTATTTTTAGTAAATTTGATTTTAATTTAAATTTGGTTACTTAATTTTTAAAGTTTAGTTTGAGTTACCTATTGTAGCAAAGAATTTTTGTGTTGTGCTAGTAAAAAAAAACATGGTGAATTATTGTATTGTTCCGTTGTGTACAAATCATGGAAAAATTACAAAAAGATGATGATAGTAAGTTGTGAGGAAGCAAAAAATAATAGTATTTAACATCTGAAAATATGTGTAATAAATATTATGTAATTATAACTGTTTTATCTTAACAAATAAATATACGTGTATCTAGAAAAAAATGTGCATCTTTTATATATCCCTATTTTCCAGTATGCCAATAAAACACACACACACACACACACACACACTATTTTCCAGTAAATTATAATTAGTAAAGAAATAGCCCGCAAGAGGCGCTAAAGGCTATGTATGTATCATCGAGCAATAAGACAAAAGAGGGAATGTAAAGGTAGTGGGGGTAAACATATTGATAAACAGGAAGTGCTATTTTGAGAGGCCACTTTAAACAAGGAAAGAGAATCTCTTTCCTTGTTTAAGAAATCAAATTTAGTTGGGTTATGTTATTGTTGATGTTATTGTTTGTCAAAACTGTCACATGAAAGCTTATTTATATTTTCTATTGAAGTTTTTTAACATTTTAGACTATTATCGTTATTAATTAATTAAAACTTTATTGTATTCTAGTGTTAAAAAAAAGTATTTTAATAAATAATTTTAATAAATAAATAGATAAATATATAATATAAAATATTATGTAATATAAAATAAATAAATAGATAAATTAGAACCCCTACACCACTGTATGATTATTGTCAAGTGTCATGAAATTTAAATTTGGCGCATTTGCATTTCCGGATATGTCCGCCATCAGAGGCCACTTTTTTGGTCTCCTTTTCATAACGATTAGATTCCCTCTTTTGTCTTATTGCTCGATGATTATATTACATTTTAGCATAATTTTGCAATTTTCTTGTGATGATCTACAACCAGGAAGAACAAAACCAACGGTATCAATACAATCAAACTAAAACACAACATTACTTTATTAATGTTCTCTTATTGTGATGAAAACAAATTGAAAATACTTTTTAACAAGTATACACTAAAATTAAAAGCTACTTGCCGTTTTTCTTAGGATAATTAGATATAAATAACATACATTTATAAATTTATAAACACTAAACTATATTTAGTATAAATATCATCTAGAAAAATATCACACATCAAATACTATTCGCATATCACCAAGTCCAAGTTATTACAAAGAACTTATGAGTCAGAGGAAAATACGAGTAATATTCAGTGCAGAATGTATATTCGGGATGTATGTAAAAATAAAAATTTAATAATTTTATTCTTCTTCTTCTTCAAGTGCCGTCTTCGTTCCGAAGTTTGGCTATCATCAAAGCTATGCGTATTTTTGATGCTGCAGATCTAAACAGTTGGTAATTGGTGCAATTGTACCATTCTCTCAAGTTTTTCAACCATGAATGCCTTCTTCTTCCTATAGATCTCTTTCCCATTATCTTTCCCTGTATAATCAATTGCAGCAACTGGTATTTATCTCCCCTCATAACATGTCCCAAATATTGTAGTTTGCGCTTTTTAACAGTAAGTATCAGCTCTTTCTCTTTCAGCACTCTCCGCAAAACCTCCACATTTGTTACTTTCTCCGTCCAGGGTATTCTTAATATTGTACGATACATCCACAACTCAAATGCTTCTATCTTTTTGGTATCGATCTTTTTCAATGTCCATGTTTCCATCCCGTAGAGGAGAACTGACATAACGTAACATCTCAAAAGGCGAATTTTAAGTTTTAGACTTACATCTCTTCCGCAGAACACCTTTTTCAATTTAGTAAATGTGGCTCTAGCTTTCTCTATTCTGGTTCTGATTTCTTCAGAGCAATCATTATTTTCGTTGATAACAGATAATTTTATTAGTCTTCCAAAATGTCCTCTTCATTCATGTCTTGGTGAGGTTCATGCACAACTACACCATTTTGAATTTCTTCATTTAGTTTTTTAGCAAAAACTGAATCTATTTTAGATATTTGAGTAAGAAAGTTTTGTTTTTGGTCAGCAGTCCAATGTATAAACCATTCTTTGAATAATTTCACCTAAAAAATAACTATGGTAAGACATTCATAATATAGACAATAAGTCAATCATCCTATATAATTACCACTAGTACTTGGCATTGAATCCATATTGTTATCTTAATGACACTAAAATGTTGCTAAATAGTTCTGAAAAGAACTGCTTTTTATATAAATGCAAACGAAAAATTTAAAAATGTAAGGAATAACGCAGAAAATACAAAAAATCGTCGATATAAATTTTTAATTTTAAAATTTCATAAATGTCATTAGTGTCAATATATCATAATTTAGTGGAGTAAACTTGCCTGCCATTGGACCAATTACAAACAAGTATTATGGCGCAGAAAATTTGAATTACTCCTCCTGGTTAAAAAATAGACCATAGAATGTCACATTTTCATTCTTAACGTAAAAAAGCTATACAACACAGAACATTTCTGGTGACATTTGTCGCCAAGTGACGTCATACAACTGATCGCGTGCGCGTAAGTTTATCTTTAGTTCATATATTTCTACTATTATATTATTTATCTATGTTCATATACCTGGTTCGTTATTAAGCGGCCCCTAGACGATCAATATTATTGTCAATATATTGGACAATAATTTATATTGTACAATATATTGATCGTCTGTAGACCACATTGAATGATTGTACAATATATTGTGTCAATCAACATGACTTTGATTTTTATTGAGCAATATCGTAAATATTGCGGCGTCTGTGAGTAATATTGCGCAATATTGGTTCAGTTTCATTTCAACACTCTTGTTGTAAACATCGCAGTACGATAAAAAATATGTCTGCAAAGGGAAAATGGGAAGAAAGATAGTTTTTTATATAGTGCATCGGTCGTTACCGGCTTTGTGGAATATTATCCAGATGCTGATAATTTGCAGTTAGTAAAAAAATTTAATTCGTTGCGCACCAACTTAAGAAAGGAATTAGGTACACCGTATAAGGGACTCTGCAAAAAATGGTGTAAGGGGAGACTATGTAATTCAACCAACATAATGGTATTTTAGCGAAATGCGTTTCTCGTGGGTAAAGACAGACCTAGTGCTTCAAAAAGCACTATAGATAATGATAAGGAAAAAGCACGAAAGCATAAAGAACATACAGAAAAAA